ACGTATTGAATAATATTATGCCATTATATGCAAATGATTCCTTGAATGTCGATGTTTTATGTTTTGGGACAGTTAATAAATGTCTATTTCGTGTTGCATATTTATGAACTATTGATTCATCTCTCAGATTGAGTATATTATTTTTCACATGGAGCAGAGCTATCCCTGAGTGCAATATTAAAGATAGTTCTAATTAATATTTTCTGAACAATAAAAACACGTTTTGCCCCCACAGAAGGACCCCACTAAACTAAGCACGTCTTTGATCTGTCGTATTGCTGCACATATTGCTTGATTCAATTTTTTGCAGACATGATCGATATGGGGCTCCCATCAAGACAAGGTTTTATCTAGAAACATACCAAGGGGTTTGGCTGTTTCCGAGAGTTGGATGTTGTTAAGTCTCACTGTTTTTTTAACGCGAAGCCTAAATGTCACCCATGACTGAATTAATGTTGTTTTCTAGCTCCTCCGCAGTATTTCCGGAAACTGTTATGGTAGTGTCATCTGCGAATAGGATAATGAAACCTTGTCTTATATACTTCGGAAGATCATTTATATAGATAGAGAAAAGCAGTGGGCCTAAAATGGACCCCTGTGGTACCCCAATGATAATATCTTTAATATTAGCTATCTACTGCATTATTCACAGTCACTACCATTTTCCTATCTTCCACAAAAGATGTCATCCATTCCAGATGGAACGCTCTAATGCCAATGTTATATAATTTACTAACCATTATGTCATTATTCACTGAATCAAACGCCTTGGCCAAGTCAAATAATATTGAAACTACGTACTTCCCCTTTTCGATTTCGTTGTAAATAAACTCGAATTTTCTAGCAGTAGCAGTCTCAACTGATGATGATTGATGATTGGTTAGAATTTTGTATTTTTTGACGAACACAATAATTCTATCTGCTACTATTTTTTCAATAAGTTTAGATAGAATACTCAGTAATGATATTTCGCGATAGTTATCTATATCTTTATGTGAACCCTTTTCATCTTTAAGAGGAAGATGCAAGATGCTCAATTGGTGATTGAAACACGAGTCGTTTGGTGTTGGGATGAAACTCCAGTAATATTCATATTGACTTTTGTTTATTTGAAAATGTATTAATTCAAGGCCAATCGTGAAGAAAATCAAGGGGTAAATGAGCAACAAGCAGTGGCAGATGCCGAAGCTATCATTGCAGCTGGCGAATCAAAATGGGGCACCGAGGAATCTGTTTTCAACACAGTCCTGATAACAAGAAGTTACCAACAGTTGAGAGCTACCTTCTCCGAGTACGAAAGATTGACTGGGAAAGACATTGAAGCAACAATCAAAAAGGAGTTTTCAGGAAGCATTGAGAAAGGATTGTTGGGAATCGGTTAGTGATAGTTGCACCTTGTCACACATTAGTAAGATTTGTAAAATTAAATTACGTTTTTTGTAGTAAAATGCGTTAAGAGCAAAGTAGGATACTTTGCAGAGCGTCTTCATGATGCTATGGCTGGTTTGGGAACAAACGACAAGACATTGATCCGTATTATTGTATCTAGATCTGAAATCGACTTGGCTGATATCAAACAAGCATTTTTGGATAAATATGGCAAAACTTTGGAAAGCTGGATTACTGTAAGTAGTATTTTGATGAAAAATTTGGAAGATTTATTCGTTTCTCTAGACACAAGAGTTGTATGTTTTTCAATATTCATCAATTTTTTTTAGTAAATTTTGGTCGTTTATATATTATTTGAAAACCGCCAACTCTTTTGTTCTCGAAGACACTTATGAATTATAAGACAAAGTATTTTATTAATATGTAGGTGAAGGATTTGCTGAGAACTAAACATTTAAAAGCCTGGTTATGTTTGAGAGTAACCTAATTGCATTAGTCATTACTAACACTATGATTTGATGAATTATTTTCAACGTAAATTAAAACTAAATGACATCATCTGCTTCCTACACAAATATTTATACAATTACTCATACTGAATAATTTCGTTGAATAAGTCGATACATTCCTACACAACGAATAACGAGGTTGTATTAGGTTTCATGCTAAACTACTGAAAAGTATCGATCTCTACATTGAAAATTAATGACTTCTAGGGCAAAATACACCATCTATACATAACAAAAAATATACTATTATCTTCAAAACTTATATTTTTCAAATTTTGATTTTTATGGCCTGTTCAGGAGCTGACATTTAATTTTGTGTCGGGTACATCTGAAAATAAGTTACATTTATGTTTAGGACAACGGATATTTTCAATTAAAAAAAAAGGATTTTTAAGGAAAGTTTAACGCCTTTTATTTTGGATGTATTTTCGGACCTACGTTTACATGAACTTTTCATCATAAAATTAGCTTCCAAACATGTTTTTACTTCACATGTTTCACCCCGATGAAGAAACACCTTGTAAGTAGGAAACATATCGAAAACGTTTTATCATTAGGTACTTTAAGGATAAAGTAGTTTTTTCTGTGACGAGAAAAAAGTTTGACATTTTATCTCTGATGACAGGTAACAAAATGTCATTTTTCATGAAATTACTTTTTTCACCGGTCCCCGTGAAAAAAGTGAGTACTTGTCTGGATGTCTGGTTGAAAAAACCAGACATCACCAGAAGATGGCAAATGAGACTTTGCCGAAACGTTGTGAAAATAACCCTTATGGGGATAAAATACACAGAACACGGAGCGAAACCCGAAAAAACAGCTCATCATACTTTATCCGTGAGAATCTTCGAGTTAACATATATATATAT